AAATCCAAACCTCTCATTTTATAGATGAGGAAACTGAGGCCCAGAGATTCATGAGATAATAGATTTAGTACTAAGGATGCAACTACAATAAATAAAAAAAAATACCTACTCAAAAGAACCTTACATTTCAGCAGGGGAGTCAACATTCAAGGAACAACGAATTGTCTGGTCTGACTGAGGCAGAGGATGTGTGACGAGGGATTGGGAGTAATGAAGCTGGAAAAGTTGGTGGGAACCCAACGGGGGAAGGCCTTGAATATCATGCAAAGGACTTGGGACCTTACTTAGCAGACAATAGGAGACATGGAGAGATTCTGAGGCAGGGAGTGACGGGGTCAGACGTGTGCATTAGGACAATTATATGGACAGTGGCATGAGGAATAAAAAGGAAGAGCCTGGAGTCAGGAAGCAGAGTTAGAAGCTGGTGCAGTGGTCCAGGTGAGAGGTAACGAGAGCCTGGATTAGGACAGAAGAAGTAAAAGATTGAAGAGATCAGGTGAAGACAGAATTGACAAGACTTGGTAACCAAGTGAATGGAGGAAAGGGGAGGGGGAAGGAAAGAAACAAGCGTTCATTAAGCGCCTATATGTCAGGCACTATGCTAAGTCTTTTACAAATAGGATCTCATTTGATCCTCACAATGACTTTGTGAGGTAGGTGCTATTATGATCCTCATGTTACAGTTGAAGAAACTGAGGCAGACAGAGGTTAAATGACTTGCCCAGGGTCATTCAGCTAGGAAGTGTCTAAGGCTAGATCTGAACTCAGGTCTTCATGATTCCAGGCTCAGTGAGCCACTTAGCTGTGGTCAAAAGGGAGGGGGATGAGAAAGAGGAAGAAGAAGAGGAAGAAAAAAAAGTGAAAGATAACTCCAAAATTGGGAGCCTAGGAGATTTAGGGGGATGGTGATAGTAATTAATAAAAATAAAGACGTTAGAGGGTCAAAGGCTACTAGATACAGAACTCTAAGGCCATCTTGTCCAACTCCTCCATTTTACAGATGAGGAAACATGAGGCCCAGAAAAATTAAGTGATTTATCCAATGTCACATAGGTAAAAATTGTCTGAGGTAAGATTTGAATCCAGGACATGTAAGATATTTCTTCCCAAGTTTGGATGGTCTTTTGTCTAAAAATTCGCTGGATATTTTTTTTTTTACATACCAGAGTAAAGTTAAGATCATAACAATATATCTGCTTCTAATTTCCCTCATTTGTAAAATGAGATAGATATATATCACCACACTATTTATAGGAGCACTTTGTAACAGCCAAGAACAGGTTCACAGGGTTCCTTGCCAACTTTAAAGATTCAAACTCAGCACTGTTCATTCATAGCTCAAAGCATCCACCCACTTTCCAGTCTCTGGAGAGCTCCTCAGGACCTCATCTACCATTTGGCCCAACTCCAGACAGCTGGACCGACCTAAACTTTTATGGGGAAGAGAAACAAAGGCCAGCCATTGATATACAAGGTTCTGCCCCATTTCTAACCCCAATTATTTGTGACCTCACTCAATTATCATTACAGTTATCCCTCCCACATCGCCAGGGTGAAGGGCGTAGCACCTCGCAATCTGGAAAATCCATGTAAAATTTTCTGGCCCTCCCTTTATAACAAGAAGAAGTCTGATTTTTTTTCCTTCCTTGGGGGGTTTACAGTACCTTATTGTGAAATTTGGTTTAAATATTTGGTCATAGGCTCTATGTTATATGCTGGCCTTCACATGGCACCTGCAGCTTCCACAAAATTCCCCCAAAATTCCTATTTAATTTCTTATGCCATCCTGCAATATATCAAAACCATGATGGGAAAAGTCATGATGTGGAAGGGATAACTGTATTTAAATGTTCTGCTACTACCCCAGAAGTTCTATTTACTAGCCTGGGAGAGAGGGAGCAAAATAGAAT